TGAGAGTGTGTGTGATGATTGAGTGCATGTGGTGTGTGTGGAAGTGCGTGTGATGTGTGCGAAAGTGCATATGATGTGTGTGTAATTGTTTGTGATGTGTGTGAAAGTGCAAGTGATATGCGAAGTGCTTGTAAATGTGGATACATATTAGAGTGAATGTGCGACCTGCGTAGGTTCAGATGATTAATTTTACGAGTTCATGAACGGTGGACGTGTTTGGTGAGATGAGAAAAAATATAAGAGTTCGAACATTGACTGTTACACTTTACTTTATTCTGACTATTATTTTGTTTGACTCTGCAACTTAGATATTTATAGCATCAAAAATTACTAGTGAAATAAAAAATGACAAGACGCACCGATTACAATTAGGCACCAGATAGCCCTACGTTCAAAAATAACTTGGGATCGGATTTAGCAACAAAAACTGCCATCCACTATTCTGGAAACCTATTTATGTAGTGTGCTAGACAACCACGCCAGTTGCCTGGTCTTAAACTAGGGAATGCCTTTACTATGAGTACCAGAGCGACGAAATTCACTGCACATCCAAAAACACCCAGACCAGAACCAATTTAGAAAAGTTCATTACCCAAATTGGTCCTACTGGCAACCGGACTCGATAGTCCGGGAGGAGTTACGTTGGTGGGCGCATACAGCGCCCACCAACGTAAACCGTTAAGCCATCAAGCTTGTCATTAGTTCATTCAATTAAACTGTACGAACATAATTATTTTGCTGGTGATTGAACAAAAAACGTATATACATGTATGTATGCAATTGCGATTTATAATTTTGTGATAAGAAGCGTTCTGAATTTATTTGCGTTTTTGTTATTTCAAAATTTTATGTGCTTTTTTTTAATTGCCTGTCCTGAAATTAACATAGTATAAGTCAGATGACGGCTCGCTACAACGATGTATTGAGTATGCACTTATGCGGCTTTTATCTTTTATCCAACGCCTACGAGCACTTAAGCAAATTCGTAAATAATGCCAATGAGCATTTTATTAAAATCTTAATTAATTGTCTATTGACAGACGAATAAAGAAAATATGTATACAACAGAATTATGATAGCAACCTTACTTAGCAATATAGTGGATCGTATAATCCGGTCATCAGATTTATTTAAGACCAACTTTAAGAATTACCATGTCATCAACTAAACTTTCAATTTGCGCTCGTTAACACTGATTGTTAACTTACCTAGGGCCTTTTAAAAGAGAATTTGAGAGTGAATAGGCGTTATTTAGGTGTGCATACTCCATCATCAACCTCACTGCCACTTTCCGTCAGGAGAGCATTTAAAAAAAATAACAATTAATGTAAATGCTTATTTGGTATATCGTCTGGCATGGTTAGCTAGAAGACGTCGGTTCGATATTTGTATTAATAATTATAACAATCTAGTGGAGTAATTTCACAAAAAATAATTGAATATCAATTCAATAAAAATTTAAAAAACGTAATATTTCGCTTGCTCCTACAGGTACGTAAATACTTTTTTCCAACTTGTGTTTTTGGTGCATTATAATGGGACTGAATAAGGAATTTTTCATTTAAAAAGATTGCTGTGTGATATTACGTTTGGTCTTAAGACGCCGCACGCCCGCTACGAGCCAGATTAAACATCCGGTGAAAAATGGTAGGCATTTTGCTTTAAACAATTGGACTTGTAAATACCATGTGTTGGTTGTATGTTAAATTACTAAAATAATATAAATATGTACATAGTTGTTTAAGGATTATGATAATTAGTTTTTTTATACTTAGAACAACTACTTAGACAAGTCGATGAGTATTATCCCGAACCTTTCACTACTGCTAACTAATCCAATTGAATAAAATTTCGTATTTAAGGTCGCGGTTCGACGGTTTCCTGTTAAAATATATAGTTATAAAACGATGAGACGTCGTTAGGAATTACTGCTGTTTTGGTTCCGTGATGAATGAAAAGGTGTACAGTTCTTACCCCACCCCAACCAAGAGCCCTGGCGAGGTCGTTGCCGGTACCGAGCGGTAACACACCCACTGCTGGGCGCGATCCAATGCGATCTAACACGCTCAGTACCCAGCCCACTGTACCGTCGCCGCCGCATGCCAGCACGCGCAGGTTTGGCACTTTACGATACAACTCAAGTCTAAAAAAATGAAAATACATAGTTTAAGTAAGACTTAAGTAAATGTTTTGATTTATAGTGAAAAAAATTAAGAACTTAAACTATTTAAAAAAGAAAAGTTAAATAAATGTTTAAAAAGACTGCAAAATAATTGGAGTTTAACAAAACAAGGAAAGATATAAAATTTATATAAAGAGGCTGTATCGTGGAACCTTTGCCTACCCAAATAAATGGGTGAAAATTTATTTAAAAAAATTTCTAATTGTCACAGAAAGGGGGTCTCCACGAAGGCATTCACCGGAATCCGTCAAGGATCCAATAAAATTGTACGTTACGTACTTTCACTGACATTGGCGACGATCGCCATAATTTTTATATTATTGTCATTGACTTACAAATAAATGGACGACGGGTCTAATACAAAAACCACGAAAAAAATGTCCCAAGTCAACCTATTCGAAATTTAAATTATAATGTCATCGCAGTATCGCGCTGTCAGTGGAACAAATGAAGACTAAAGCGGAGTTTGGCGCTCTGTATACGATTTTAGCGCCTTACAAGTGCGGACACTTTTTAGCGCGGACCCGACGTCCATATAATTGTAAGTCAATGATTATTGTTAACAAAACTGGCACGGGCCCAAGCCTATTGGCCGCCATTAAGGAAATAACAATAAATAAGGCATTCGCCTCTTTATTGTCTTTTTACGTATTATCGACTAATTACTTATAGTTTAGACATAATTATTTCTACACTGTTCTATTCGTTGCGGCATAAATTTCTGCGATATTCAGAGAGTTACCTTCTTGAAAATTATTAACTGAGTTTGAAATCAGGAAGTTTCGAAGGGTTTGTAACAACTGTTTACTTTAATCAATAACAAAATTTAAGGATCTCACTTGAATATGAAACATAATATAAATGTATTGCGGGTACAGTGATAATTAAATTAAATCAAAACTACTAGTAAACATGAAACAATAGGCTTGAGCAAGTTCAGGAACTTGAGTAATTTTAGAAACTGAGATTGACGCCATTTCGTTGATAAAAAGACAAAAACAGCGGCGAGGACTAAAGCCAGTCGGTAAATGGCAAAAAAGCTTTAGTGTCATTAAGATAAGTCGATGCGAACTGTCTCCGATTTCCATTAGTCTAGTGTTATATAATATAACGCGTTAAGTTGGGCTGGCGAGCGAGTTGCAGGAAGTACTGGCCGTAGATTATAATCGCTTTTTCTATAGCCTTTGACGGCCTCAAAGGGGAATGCCTTTGCTCACTCACTCGTATCACTTGGCGGATCTTAGTGACGGGCGCCAGCTATTTGCTCTTGTTATAACTTTAGTTTGAATTGAAATTTAGTTAACAAAAATCTGATAAAAACTAGTAAGACATAGAAAATGAAAATTAAAAAACTTAAACGTTCATTTTGTAGATAATAGTTAAGTTTTAATAACTGGCAAACTTACCACACAATATTTATGAACTGTACAGTTATACTATGCGTATGATTTGATACACAACCTTAGAAAATAAATCAGTGCATTTGTCGAAACCCCTAAGCAGTTAATACTTAACTCATTCGTCATTAGCGTTGACCGGCGAACTTTTCAAATAAACGTCCCCGTCTTGCGTCTTCGATATTGGCCGGTTTATTCGGTTGGAATAATGTTACGAATGGAACTTGTAGAAATAACAATCGCATGATATGAATACAAATAAGAGGAGTAGAGGGAAATTCTAGTGAATTCTTGCTTCAGGCTATCGATAAACTTTTATTAATAGGTTTGGTCGCCGACGTCTAGTATACTATGAGTACATATAATATTTAGCACAAAATTTAGTACATTATATGTATTTAAAAAAGGATAGGTATATACTCACCCAGGCCCAGGTCCACCTTGAGTGAGATCAAAGACTTGACGTGGATTTAAAAGCCACTGGAACTTTTGCAGCAATTTTGCTCCCTGATTTCCTCCACTTTTTGGGTTTATGAAAACCAGTACTGGTTTTACATTTGTGGTTGGTATCGGTTTTATAACGAATGTTTTAAGCTCGTTCTTTGAATCCTTTCCTTTCTTCTTGGAAGAATTTTTCTTTTTGGGTGATTTTCTGAGTGACGATTTAAAGCTACCCCTTCTTGGCAGTTTTACGATCCAGGACGGCGGTACGATGATATTGCATTGAGAGCCTGTGAAAATACTGAGTATTCAAAATTTATGCTGGAGGTGAAGTTAAATGAATAAATTGAAAAACGAAATACGTAAGCTTCGCAGATATTATACGGGAATTCTGTGTGCACGATAACGTAGGCGAAACGCTGTGTATTGCAAATTTAAAAGAAATCGTAAAGAGTAATGTTAGTTTTCACGTTCAAATTTCGTGTCCTTTGTTTCCTGTTACTATTTTAATAACGTTTTATCTCTTTGTTTTAGAACACTTTTACGTAGTCTGGCGAACAAGGTAAAATTAACAAGTTTAAACGTTCCAAAAAGCGTACTGCACAAAGAGCGACGGTAAAAAATAAAACAAAAATTAATTTATTACCTAAGAAAAAAAATACAAAAAACTATGATAATAAAAATGGAAGTAAATTAACTTGCTAGTGCGCGAAGGCAGTGGAGGTTAAATTGTGCAAAATAGCTACGCTTGTGTTGTAAACTTTTTCATGCAGTTAATTTTTCCCACCCAAGGCTTATAAAATGCAAGGAATCACGTATCTTACATAGTATTACTTTAATATTTACTATATTAATAATAAATAAATATTTTTCACAGTGCGGGACGATAATGAGCGTGACGGTCAAAGTAAAAAAAAATTAAGTGACGTGTCAAAAATATAAAAGTTTAACATAATGCTAATGTTGCGTAACGAATTGTGAAACTTTCAACAACTTCTCTCTTCTCGTATTAGATAACCTATATGATATGGTTGTTCGGGCTAATCTTGGAAGTACGTATCTTGGAAAAACAATATCAATATATTATATCTTTAAATACTTATTTTACGAGGTGATGGTATATCAAATGGATGGATGGTATAAGCATGTCTATTTCTGTTTTGTATTTCCTTTTTACGTGCGTAACGTTACTACATTCTCCATGTTTTTATTTATTTCTACACAATTTACTAACAGCCAACTGAGAAATTAAGAAAACTGGCAGCTAAATGATTGTTTATGGATTCATTTATGTACTTTTAAAATTATATTATACATATATTATTTACAATTTGTCTACAATTATTTGCTACTCTCTTAATACTATATATATTATTTGCTACTCTCTTAATACTATATTATAACACTTAATTTTTTTTTCAGTCAGTTAATAAAAATACTCCATACCTGAATAGGCAAGTATCATTCCGAGACGTGTCATTTCTGATTTATTTCTCTTTATCAAAAGGCAAGGTGGCGTTTTAATATTGTGACGTTTCAATATGCCATTTGTAAGCACTAGTTGCGGTGTACATGACGTATCTATCTTTTTCTTACTTACGTATAAAAACTTTGATTTCAGTCATATTCTTGAGATTTCAGTCGATAGGAAAATTGCTTGATTCGTGCGCTAGTTCTTATTAATAATAATAAGTTTATAAGTTTCATTATATTTACCTAAACAACACTCTTCTCCTATCCGTTGCAGGTTGAAACAGCTTTCTTTGTTGTGGTACGCATCCTTGCACCATGAACAGCTTAATGCGACGATCTCTTTCGAACTGAACGACAGTTTTGCTTGTAGGGACTGTGCAACAAAACAATGCAAATCAGATATTATGCACAACATTCCATTAAGAACAAGAAAAGCAGTATATAGGGCAGACGAAGCTCCAGAATTATTAACAAGGATTTAGTTACAAAGCAAGTTTTGCAATTGTATGACACCGGTTACAAGAAAGTATTTCGTTAGTGAATACTTAATCAAAATGTTATCACCAGCACCTAATTTTGTATCAGATATACGCACTCGGTAGCCAAGCTCATAACAATCTCCTACAGGATTGTTTACTTTATCACGTGCCGGTAAACACCACTTGCAGCATCGACACCGGAACGACTGTGACAACAAAATGACCATGCAGCACAAATAACATGCATAACGAAAAATGATGTATCACTGTTAATTAATTTTAAAAAAGACAATATTTTCAGACATCAAATTTAACGTGCAACGGCTACGGTAGGATGTGATGTAAAATGAACATAAATAAGCATAACATGAATAAAAGATAACAAAGTTATTATGATTATGAACTGGAGTACAGGGTCAAGAGCTCTTCAAACTTGACAGGTGAGATTGAAATACAAACTACACTACTATATATCACTATTTTTTATTTGTATATATCACTTCTGATAAGAACGATCAAAAGTCCAAAGTGTCAAGCCTGATGTGCTCTTGATTGTACCACTGTGTTATTATTACGCGGTAATAATAAGAATAACGGTAGCCATATTGTAAAAATGCCACGTATATATTCATCAACTAACACAATTGGAGTTATTTTTAACACTATCATAAATAACACTTTGGCACTAAAAGTAAATGGTTCAGCTATGAGTTTGCGGAATATGAATATTAACGTAAAGTAGGCGCTACAAGATAGCGTAACCTAGAAACCTCATTTGTTGCGTTTAATTTTGTACAAGCGACGAGTCTCGCAGCTAGGACGATATGCTAACACATCATTAAAAATGAAGTTTTAATTTCACGTTGGGGTGGCAGGTTTCGTGACGTAGTCGTGACGTGAGTCGTGTCACATGCGAGGCAAATGGTAATCGTGGGGAGTAGAGCGTCAGGCAATTCCCGCGAAAACCAGCGAGTAATGGGCAGGCATTCTCGGCTCCCGACTACAGCTTGCCACTCACTTCCCATCACATCATTCATTCATGACACTATCCGTCCGACAGATTGCATGTTTAGTCGGACCCGCCCGCGATGTCGTGGAAACATTGTAATGACACTATAGTCGCTAATGCCATGCTACGAATTGCAAAGTATCCACTTGGGTGGATACAAGAGGGTATCGTTCACGCGATAGCGTCTCTGTGAAAATGAAGCTGTAAGATAAATTTATTTATTATTTGATTTCTAGTAACAAAATTATAAATTTATCCTTGAATTCAAATTGTGAATTAAGTTTCGGACGTCAAAAGTTTTGTACATTTTCAAAACTTGAAATTTATAGATATAAAGATGTGATGTAAAAAAAACACATGAACAGATGATAGTATAATTATACGACAGTCCAAAGTAATGCCAATGTGTTATTATCAGTGATCGACATAGAGGGAGTTAATCTACCTAAGGTATGTACGTTTCTTAGCATGGAAATACCAATTTAGTCATCAACGAGTATAAAATTTCTAGTTTTTCACTGTTTATTTTATAAACATTCCAAAATGTAGGTTGTCTCATGTTCATTTTTCAAATGGCTAAAATATTTAAATATATAAATAGCTATACAAACACAGCTACAATAATATTTGATGGGAAAATTGACCTATTTGCCTGTTCTCTGTGTGAGTTCAATAAAAAAGCTTTATTTGTTATGGAATATAATAATAGTTGTCATGTAATATGGTATAATATAATTTT